GGAACTTCGACAACGACAGTGTCAGTGCCACCTTGGGAGGCAGTCTCAGTAACAGTGGTGGTGAATGATCCAGACCAAGTAGACGTCTCAGTAGATTGAGAGTTAGTTGGAACTTCAACAACGACGGTGTCAGTACCACCTTGTGAGGCACTTTCAGTGAGAGTGGTAGTGAACGAACCAGACCAAGTAGAGGTCTCAGTAGACTGGGCATTACTTGGAACTTCGACAACGACGGTGTCGGTACCGCCTTGGGAAGCAGTCTCAGTAAGAGTGGTAGTGAATGATCCAGACCAGGTAGAGGTCTCAGTAGACTGGGCATTACTTGGAACTTCGACAACGACAGTGTCAGTACCACCTTGTGAGGCACTTTCAGTGAGTGTGGTGGTGAATGATCCAGACCAGGTAGAGGTCTCAGTAGACTGGGCATTACTTGGAACTTCGACAACAACGGTGTCAGTACCACCTTGGGAGGCACTTTCAGTGAGTGTGGTAGTGAATGATCCAGACCAGGTTGAAGTTTCAGTAGCTTGTGCATTACTTGGAACTTCAACGACAACAGTGTCGGTACCACCTTGAGAGGCAGTCTCGGTGAGAGTGGTAGTGAACGAACCAGACCAAGTAGAGAGCTGAGTTGATTGTGAGTTACTTGGAACTTCAACAATAACTGTGTCGGTACCGCCTTGTGAAGCACTTTCAGTGAGAGTGGTAGTAAATGATCCTGACCAAGTAGTGGTCTCAGTCGTTTTTGAATTACTTGGAATTTCAATAATAACCGTATCTGTACCTCCTTGCGTAGCTGTATTCGTAATAGTGGAAGTTGCAGTACCTGACCAGGTTAACGTTGTAGTAGTTTGAACGTTTGAAGGAATTTCAACTACAACTGTGTCGGTTCCTCCTACAGAGGCAGTTTCCGTGGTTGTCGATGTGGATGATCCAGTCCAAGTGGAGGTGATGGTTGTTTGTACATTTCCGTTAGGGGGACTAGGAATTGATGGACATATCGCACAGACACTTGGTCTTGATGAATCTGGGGGAGCTGGAGCATAAAGTAATCCGAAGTTTGTGTTAGCTACAGCAGCACCAGTTCCGTAGTTAGCTGCTCCGATTGTCATTTGTGTCAGGTCGTAACCAGTACCAATTACGACGGTGTATGTAAACCCACCTGCCTTAATGGATAATGTGTCAACACTATAGGTGAAACTTGTGATGGTTCCACTGAACCCAATAACATTTCCATTACCCCATCCAGCAACCGTATATGAGAAAGAAGGATTGTAAAGATCAATTCTCAAACTGGAAGAGCTCGTACTAAGAAGAATCGTTTGCGTTTCAGCAATTGTTCTTGAATAAGCATTTGTGACCCAGAAGTTACTGTTCAACCCGACATCATAACAACCGGTACCGGCAATATTTGATCCTTGATAGTAAATTTGCTGATAAATACAAACAGTCCCATCATTAGTAATATCAGAATCATCAAGACCTAAGTGTGTAGTACCACCTGTACGAGACACTGATTGGTAGTAAGTGATGATCCCCTCATTAACAAATGTATTATAAGGTTGAATAGCAAAAGTTGAACCACCGGTATTACCAATTCCTGCAAACCATATACTACCATAGTTGTAAAAATAACCACCATAGTAATCAAAGGTGGGAGCCGATGTACCATTTAAATCATTGAGAACAATCTCACCATAATTTGTAAGTGTATTGGTTGTTCCAATAAAATCACAAGTTAATCCAGAATAATGATTTCTGTCACTGATGTAGAGCATCCCATTGACAGTTAAATCTCCATAGAAATTGTGAGTGTAACCAGAGTCGATTGCTAAGTAGACACCTTCGTCAATAATATAGTCTGGAGTATAGAGAGTATCACCAGTACTTATGAGAGTGTTGGACGATATCTCAACCGTAACAGCATTGACCTTGGTCAAACCCAATAACCCTATAGGTAATAAGGATTTGAAAAGCATCTTACTTCAACTGCTATATCTATGTCTTTCATTCTTGGGGACTAACAATATGGCTTTTATAGAATAAATGGGTCCGGTGAATAGGGCTTTGTGTAGATGCAAAGGATGGCCAAAAGGAAGCATCTTGATATTTTTTATGCATACATCCTCCACGCATGCTTCTCTGGCTTGCGTCTTACATCTGATTAAGTCCGGTAAAAAAAATATTTGCTGCAGTATTAGGGTTTTCTTTTTGAACTACTATCCTTGCATATTATTCTGACAAATAAAGCATTTTATAGAACAGATGTTTAGCTCTAGATAACTCTCTTCCTAGGAGCGCTGAACAATTTCAACGGCAATAATTTTAATGGGTTAATCCCTTGAAACTATTTTGCTTTTCAATGATCTCTGAAACGTGGGTTCAACTATTTCTTTGTGGTGGTGCCTACTTGCGAAAATGGTTGAGTAATATTCGCAAATCGACTTCAAAATATTTTATGATGATCATTTTCGTACAAAAAGGTGTTACCATAATACAATGTAGCCATTATTATTTTTACAATGAACTGCGACTCCCGAAAACCAATCTTGCATACCTTTTCTGGCTCGTAAAAAATATTTGCGAAGTGTCACCTCTTTTAAAAATGAAAATAATAATCGACTATTTTTTGTGTTGTCGTAAATAAAGTTATTAAGCTTTTGACTTGGTAGAGTGCTTCAGAGAGAGAAAAAAAAACTTTTTATTGTTTCACAATGCATAAGATGTGGTGGATTGTTGACCGATATTTAGAAAACAGGTGCTTTCTTCTCAATTTTGCTCGCGCAAAGAATCATGCTTGAGATATATCAAAAAATTTGATTAAATTTTAGAATTAGATATTCCCTTGCTCCCACTATTAGTACTGCTTGAACCATGAGTGAAAAGTCATCCGCGTTCTCGCATATGCACGAACAGGTGCATACACTCATGCAAGAAACTTGATAAAAATATTACACTTCAACTTCACTTGAAATGAACTGTGTTAATTTTTAGCGTCGTTTGGTTAGATATCTAGAATATGTGTAACCAGCTCTAAGATCTACTTTTGCCGATTATAAAGAGATATTGAATAAGCTTACTTGGAATTATTGGGTTTAGTCACTTTTCAGTTATACATCTAGAAAATTGAATTAAATCGCTCATCCTCCTTTTTGCTGCATGTCTGCCATCGTAGTGCAGACTGCAGTTTTTAAGTTCGACGCCTTGTTGAATTGGGATTCCGTGCATAGACTAATTAAAGAAGAAAGTCTCTTTCAAATGCATAAAAAAATTCTTTAACATAGGAGCTTTTATTTGACTTTTGTGCCGAGTAACCTATGTATTCGGTAGCCTTAGAATCTAATGCTTGTGCTTAGAAAGGTACATCTGTACTGGTTTAAACTTTTATTGGCTCTACATGAAACTCTTAGACATTAAACGAGTGATCTTGCATAAGGTTAGGTCTCGTAAAAAATATTCGCGGAGTGTTAACCTTTCGCAAAAAGCAATTCTTAGAAACCTGTCAGATCTTTGCAGATCTTGTAGGGACTTTCATGCATTGCATTTCAATCCTCCATCGAAATTGTGCAACTGCGCTTCAATTGATCACATTTCATACACCAATCCAAGAATGTTCACCAAAATATTACACTTAAAGTCGGCGGGAAATATTTTGCACCGTCTCTTTCAAAGGCCAGAAAATACACAACAAGCTATGAATAGATTCCGAAAAAAAGTGAATAACTTTCATTTGGAAAAATAATATAGTCACTTTCTGATTATGTTATCGAAATTAAATTACTCATCTTCCGATTTACTGCATGTCTGGCAATATTGTGCAGATTACACGAAAGCTTACGCACTGTTGAATTGAAATTCTTCAATACAACAATTAAACGAAACTCTCTTTGTATTCGTAAATTCTCTGCTTACGACTACCTGTTGTTAATTTAAATTTTTTTTTTAATCTAATGAACTATGTACTTGGGATCCTTGAAGCTGTAAGGCTCTTATGCCAAGATATTACATCACTTTAACATCTAGTATTTCCGCATAGTGCTTTTAAAAGTAGAAAGAATGATCTCGCATAAGATTTTGCTTCGTAAAAAATATTCGCGACGCATTATCCATACAAAAAAAGAAAATATGCATCAACATTTCATGATATCCCGTAAATATGGATTAAAACGCTCTACAATTCTTATACTCCGTCGGAACTCGAGAGACAGTAGTTAAATGTTTTTCGGTGGGTCGCTGATTAGTATCTTAAACCCAGATTGATATCCTCTATTGTACCTGCGCAATTTACATATCACGTTGAGATGTTAAGAAAAATTTGAATAAATTTCGAACAGGAATTCTTATTTCACCAGGGTTTGGTAATGCCTTAGTATTGCCTGCACAGGTGAAAATTCATTCAAGGGATAGAAATACGTAGAAAAATGTACATACACACATGCATGAGGGTTCAACAAAATATTACACTTCGATTTAGCTCGAACTGTTAAGACTTTACACCATCTTAGTAGTTAGCCAGTAGATACATGACTAGCTATCAGATTCACATTACCAATGCCTCAAAAAATAATAAATGGCCTTTGCTGGAAATTATTAACTGGTAGCTTTTTACGTATATGCCGTGAAGATCAAATTTGAGTCATTAGTCCTCCTCTTTCTGTATGCCTGGTATCATTGTGCACATTGCATGTCTAGATTTTGCACTCCGTTGAATTAGACTCCCTCAGAGCCCATTAAAGAAAATTCTTCTGCATCAAAAGGTTTTTATTTACGGCTTTAGTTTTGATTAACTGTATTTGCTCTTGGCCCATTGTGATACCCATTTACATCCTTGCAGTTTACGGTTGCTTTTCAGTCCACACTCAGAACTGTATTGAGGAGAAGTAGTTTTTTTGAATTTCCTTATAGCTCCTGTTTAAGGTTCAAGTGTTTAGAGCACAGAGTAAGTTATTTTAAGAAGTTTAAAGCCGAAGCGAAAAAAAATGCCACACTCTTATTTTTTCGGGGTTCTACGAATGGAAAAACTGCACAGCTGCTAATTATCATAGCTCAAATGTACTCAGTTCAGAAGTATCTTCCCTCTTTTGAGTGAAAGTGGTATATTTGAAAAATCAGCTAACAGTAGGTAAAAAAAATAAGCCTGATTATGTATTTTGCGTGATTTTGAATTACCGTGTTTAATCAACAGTTTTTTCCCCACTACCATAATTTGACTACAGTAAATCATAGCCTGAATTCTTAATAAGAGCCCAGCTCGTCTTTAAATGGCATCATTCAGTCATTCGTTCCCTGAATAGTCGTTAGCAAAAATTAGAGAATATTCTATCTAACTGATTGTATTAATCAATTCTTGGAATAATTGCGCTACATATTTATAAATGAGCAACAATACAGTCCTTTTAAAGAAGCTAATGTACAGCTGAAGATTCCACTAATGAAATGTCAATGTAGCATTATACAAAGAAATGTAGAGATATATGATGGTGCTCACGAGATGATAAAGCACTTGTTGTGAGGAAACTACGAAGTTTTTGGTAAGGTCCTAGGTTCTGAATGAATAAAGCCCCATTTTGCTTAGTAGTAGATTGAAGAGATTCGAGAACAGCTTACTTCACTGAATGGATAAACTGTGCTGTTACTACCATTCAAGTTGAGAATTTGAGCCTTCTTGCTTACATAACCTTTTGTATCGAAGTAAGACAAGTTGCTTAGCAGTGAATTTGCCAGCTCTTTTTTACAGCTCTGCTGCGCCTGAACTAAGCTCATTCTTACTTCAACAAATACTATTTCTCAGGGTATAGTCTTACAAGCAGAAGAGTTATTACCTTCTTGATACTTTTTGGCAGACGAAAGACTCACTAATTCGTTTGGATAATAATTGAAGCTGTCGAAACCGTTCTCTACTCTTTTGGTATATACTTCTGGCTTAGCTGAAAGTGAGTTAGAATTTGGCTGGCTTGAATAATGGACCTCCGGAGAGGATACCAGGATGACAATTTTCATGTAAATGCAAATACACACGTTCTTCCTCCTGTAAATTTCACGATTTCCACTTGAATAAAGTTATTGCAAAGCTTTTACCTAGAGCATCAATTTCGCCTATTACTATGAGAGATTTGCGAAATCATTTATTCAATATATAGTGTGGACGCCCAGATTGCCATTTCCCTATCATCGGGAAGATGTCATTCACAAACCGAAATACTCTATACCAAGAAAGTCAGAGATTTACTCTGTTTTCTTTGCTATCATTGCTATTCAATATAGCTTACATTTACTCGGCCTTCACCGAGATTATTGAGGCTTGGGCAATTACAACTAGCATGCATAGATGTCCCCTACTTTCCAGTTCCGAAAGGCACAGAATAAGTTGTAATTGTTCCAAATAGGAAGGATGCAGCATGCGAGGCATTCAACGGGAATAATAAGATTTGCATCTTGTGCATTCTTTGATGCATAAAGAAGGATGCGGCTCTAAATTGGCTGAAAATAATCGGAGTCACATGTGTGACTTTCCTGCAAGATTATTGACTTTAATAACGTGCTTTCTCTAAATAAGAGAATTTGGTAAGAAGTTCATGAATATTTTTACCATTTTCTATAACGGAATCAATTCAGAAGCAGCTTTTCTCTTAGTTCTTGCAATATGATATGCTTTCTGTTGGAAGAAGGTAGGATTCTTAGGGAGCTACTGATTGTTTGTATTGATGTAAGCTGAAGGCTGTGCTCTACTTTTGGTGATTTCGGGGCATACATTGTTCCAATAGTTTTGCATTTCAGTCAAACTTTTCATTGTATTAAGAGACATCTAGATGGGCTTCTAAGCATAATTATGAATATAAATACGAGCACGTATACGAATATATGTAGATTCATGGGTACTCTCAGGTGCGTGGACTCAATACACATGCTATACGTCCGAGCTGCTTAGTCATTGATTGTCTAGGTTACTTATGCAGCCGAATTGAAAGTTTCACTTCGCATAGAAGATCTAGATTGTATTTAATGCATGAATTACGGAGTCCTTCTTACTCCCCATCTGGTGTAGATATTAAGCTCAACTTACTCCATGTTGATCAATTAGTATATAGTTTTTAAAGACTAACTATTAAACTCTCCATACTCTAATTTGCTGAGAATCTTTAATACACCCAAAGATATTCCCGTTAATCCAAATACAGGCGTTAACGTCTTTTGATATTAAAAAGCGTATTATTTTTCATGGAAACAATCCAGGAAAATACTTTTATGCAGAGCAATGCCCACTGGTATGGTGCATATTCTCAATCTGTAAATCTGCAAGTTAAATCCACCTCTGAGACGATCAAACTTTAAATCCAAATGTGTGACTTTTCTGCACAGATAATTAAACTTTAAGCACATACGTGTGTATTTTTTATGCACTGTGATCAACTCTATTATATGAACTTGAACTCCTTATGTTAATCTTTGCCATAATTTTATTTTAATTGTTACCCTTCTTTAATGGACATGAGCAAATAATTTCTCATGAAATTATCTATCCTATTTGACTTTTTTGAAAAGTAAACTACGCGAGTATTCCCTATCTATGTTTGTCCTCTGTCACGAGAAGAAGGATGACATTTTTTATTTTTGAAACACCCGGCTATTTTTGTGCTATTGCATGAGTTTGGCGAAATATTTCTAAATTCTCTATACCCACAGCTGTCGACTTTTCTTGGCTAACGCTCTATCGGGATTTGACATAAAACGACCAAACACTCACTTCAGGAATAGAACGGTGGCGATAAGCTCATATACTGTTCTCTTGTATGTTTTTCTCTATATTTGGAGCAAATCATCATTTTTGGAAAGACATCTATGTACTGTAATTCGACTTCAAATGCAATACTATAGTTTGAATTAAAACATTTCTAAAAAACTGTTTGGGGATTTGGAAGACAGAAATGTATTTGCATTAATAGTATCAGCTAAATGTATATACATGGAAGTGGCTAAATTTTCAGTGACTGTCGTAGAACTTAAGAGGTAACATCATGTGTTTAGAGAAGGCATTTTGTCTTAAACGGTATGAGTGCTTCCCGACCAGGTAAGTTGGCTGTTTAAGTTGTAATATCGTTCCAAGTGAAGGATACAGTTTTTGGTGAATGAAAATTAAAAATTTTTGGATTCTGTTTTATTGAGATCTTCTTGGCCATGCTAACTATGAGTTAAGAACAGTCTTTATTTTGATATTAACATTGCTGTTGATTATAGGAAAGTATACGCTCAAGGATTTGCTTCTGTTACATTTTCAGCCTGTAAAAAGTTTGTTGTATCGTCAAAATGAGTAGAATGGGAGAATTGAAGTCTTAAAACGACGGTCTTTCAAAATGATGTCTTCATCTTCGTAATCGTAAGGCTATAAGAGCAGTTGACTTGTGAATAAAAATAACTCGAAGCTGAGGAGTATTCGAACACGAATTTTTTGTTTTACAGACATTTTACAATTCCTTGGTTTGATAATCGGAAAGTCAATATCCAAGACAATAGAATTGTGCTACTCAATGTCAGCAATGTGATTTCTAGGTCCATAGAGAATCAGAATAGCACTTACCGTAGCCAGTAAGCTGGATTACAAAGCTCCTTGAAAAATGCAAGAGTATGAGCCATATACTTGGCCTAGCTCAATTAAAGAAGTACTATCGCTGGGCGATATGTCCAAATAGTGAAGGCAACGGCTGACTAATTTACGTGGAACATGAGGATAAAATCTGGCGTGCTATGTCTATTAAGAGATGATTGTTTTCAAATCAGTGCAATCTGTGTTTTCTCACCTAGGTAATTCTAGATTAAATATTGTTTTAGCAAGAGGTTATTTTTTTTATGAGAGGAGCTCTAGCATCGGCTCTGTATTCTATATACTATGTGTGAGCTGAGAAGTAGAATCAGCTTTATCTGTTTTTTTCATAAGGCATCTCTTTTAATCTTATTCGGATGGCAGACTAGAGATAATTCAAACTTTATCCTTTACAGTTTATTCTGTCGGAAGACAGAAATAGCCTCGTCGTATAATTCTGGACAAACTGAAAGAAATTTACATGCAATGCCCATTTCTCTATAGCTGCAGATGCTTCTGATGTTGGATTTGATAAATTAATCATGGTTTTCCCATCTCAATATGTGAAAGGCAGCCAGATCCCTATCAATTCCGCTCTATTGGCACAATTTGAGAGCAATTTCGCACATGGTCGACAAAAAACATGTACACTTTTATTGGTGACCATGGAAGGTCGTCTCGGCATGTTGTGTCAGAAATAGGTTTTCCATCTCTCCAGTCACAACATGTGCTCTCTTTCTACAAACTAACGGACAATGGAGTTACTGAATATATCACTGATTATCCTTTTCCATCTAGCATCGCCTTCCATCGCCCTTGCCTTTTTGAAGTCTTTCACTAAATTTTACTCTCTGCATGGCGTGTATTTCGGTGAATGAACTTGTAAGAATATTTTCTCTGTTGCATGCCAAGCATATCAAGTGTCTATCAGGCTGTTCTTTTGCACTGCCAAGGTCATCTAAAGTTTATTGAGCTGATCCAGTGCAAATTTCCAAGGTGATTCATTGCATTTTGTATGTCAAACTAAAGTCTATATGAAAATATTCTGTTCATGCATTCGGAAAACAATGTAGACTGCCGAATTAGCATCTTGAGAATTCGATGTATCTGTCGTAATTTCTGCACATTAGTCTTTATGCACTCATTTTCGATACAAACACCCATACACCTGTACATGGTTTAAGCAATCTCAAGATTTGAAGTAAAGTAGGCTACCCTTGCCTTTTAATCTGTATATATAAAATTATGCAATTCAAATGACAGTTTAACTCTATAGGTCTCTAATCTTCAAATAATAGAGGCATGTAAAGGTGTGATAATCTAATGAGATGACAACAATTTTGAGAATAATATCTTTTAACTAATTATTGTAATTTAAAAAACATTTTAAGCACACTCCAATGGGTAATTTAATTATCTGAAAAACTAGATGAATACTAAAAATGAAAGAGGAATTATAATTGTGGTCTACATTTGTGAACCATCTTTTAAAGAATTATGAGCAGCTGCAATATTACTATCTAATAGTGACACTTCAAATATCTACCTAGGTATGTGTATATCCTGCATATTGACAATAAATGCAACCTTACACCAATAATCTCTACTATCCAAATTCTGGAAAGATTTCATACTTCATTAAAGAACATATTACTTACAAAAGAGGTATCTAAACAAGTTTCGTAATAAAATTTGGTAAATACGTCCAAGGGAATTAGGATAAAGTAATAAATTTTGTAGAAAAACCTTGCATATTGAATAATAGCGTTACTTAGATTAGTCTTCCTTAGCGTGATATGAAGCTACTTAGAGCCGCAGACTGGTATTGAATAGAAGTTGACACAAGACTTAGGTAAACTTTCAGTTTAATAAAATATTGCTAATACATTGGTGTTCAAATCCATGTCCAGCAATTAAAACAATACCAAATTGCCAGTTAGTCAAAATATGTGAGTATATTGTGCTGTGAAGCCGAAAATCGCTCAATTCTCTACAATACACAAGCTTTCCAGGAGGTTGATCACTCAAAGACTTTTATTTAACCAATATTAAGTCGGTGATCTATTATTTGCTGCATTGTAGATCAAGCGTTTATTGAAGAGAGAGATCCGTCGATTAGTATTTATTGTAATTTTCCTGTTGTATATAAGTATGTGAGTCATATGCACGTAACATTCTGATATGAAAGTATTTAACTGCTAATTAGGAGAAGCAAAAAACTTACCTTAACTACTGAATATAAACGTATTTAATAAGGTTATTGATATTTAATATCATTATTATTACTATTATTCTTCTTCTTCTATTCTATGATACCATATTCTGTACTTGCTCAAAACTAATTGATTTAGGAGATGTTGTAACTATGCTCGCATTTTATGACAAAAATCTGTGAATAATAAAGTGTGAGTTTGTCTCTTTAAATCATCGAGGGACTTGGGATTGGTCTTTCCTTTGGAACAACAATGGCACCCTTAGCTTCTTTAATCTTCATTTGTAAAACTCTCAATAAGTTGTAAATCAAACTCAAAACTGGAGTATCAATTTTATTCTTTTGAGCAATTCTCAAGGCATTCCCACAGATCACTTCAAGCTCCATGTAGTTACCCTTTTGGTAATCCACTTGCATGGAAGGAGCATAGTACACACCATCATCAGATCTAATCATAAATTCCATGATATCTTCAGGAAGATCAACACCATCAGATTTAGCAACCTTCAAAACTTCCTTCATTCCGTCTCTGATTACAGTGTCTACCCCCCCAAATAATTCCATTCTACCAGAGTCGGTATCGGTCAATGCACAAAGTGGATTGAAAGTAGCATTGTACACCAACTTACGCCATCTGGTGAATTTGACGTCTTCATCGTATTCACAGTGGTTTTTGTCTGTTTTGTAGAGCTCAACAAATTTTTCACAAGCGGCCTTTTGGACATCCAATGGTAAGTTCTTGTTCTCGAAGTACCCAATCTTTACGCTGTCCTTTATAGTATGCAAGATTTTCCCATTGCGGTTTGACGATCCGATCATTTGAACACCACTTAACACAATATTTTCTGGGTATGCCTCGAGAATTGGAGCACCAATTTCAATACCGTTTTGAATCAAAATAATAGCGCTATCCTTGGTAACAACTGGCTGGATAAGCTCTTCGATCTTAAACACATCTGGAAGATTCTTAGTGGTTATGACGATAAATTCAAAAGGGCCAAATTCCTTGGCCGCTTCTATACTGTTAACAAGGTTTGTTGGTTTAAAGGACTTAATGATACCATAGTCACAAGAGTCAATTTCATAACCCTTTTCCTTAACAATATCATAGTCTGATCTTACTACAACAGTGACTTCAGACTTACCTGCATATTCCAAACTATAGGCACCAATGGTACCAACACCACCTGATCCGACTAACAAGACTTTGGTTTTCGACATTATGATCAATAGATATTACTTACTTCGAAGAAATTAAATGAAACTGAAATAAGAATCAAATTGACTTCAGCTACTCTAATGCCTGCTTATAAATACTTCATCTATCGCTAAGACTGGAAAAATTAGAAACTATTTACTTTCGCTCCTTTCCTAATTGGGAATTTGTACAGATAAGAAGTATCGAAAATGGTTTGGAAAATTATCAAGAAAAAAATTCCATCCCACTGAGTTCGAAGTATCGGAAAATTGATTCATATTTCCTCAATGATTACAAATGATATGCTGAGTTCGAAGAAAAGAATTAGTAAGACTATTGGAAGGGCTAAAAAAGTTGTCGAAATGTAATTCTCTGCAATTGAGTTGATCCATGAATTGTTGATGTAGAAATCGCTAAATTGTGGTAGTTTTCAAATCAAAAAGGCATCTTTGAATGCTGACTAACAACTTAAAATATATCGCTTCTTACTATTTTTTTTTTTGACTTGTCCAAGTATTAAGCCTTATGTTTGGCAGCGAAACTATCCTACACGCGCTCAATTGCTTTCTCGCCTTATTGTTCTCTCGGCATCTTCTCACTCTCTTACACTTCAAAGCACAATACTTTTTCGCTCACTCTAAGATTTAAAATAACAATGTGCTTTTTATTGGGTACTTTTCTATACACTTTTAGTTAAATAAGAATGATGTCTTGGCTTCCTCCAACTCAACTTCATAGTCTGGTTGAAATTCAGTGTACAAGGTCTCTGGATCACCGTTAATTTGTTCAGTGTAATTGGCTTCAGCTTCGCCAATTATGGTATATGGAGCACTGCTTGAATCAACTAATAATTGAACTTTACAACATCTTTCCATTAATCCAAATAAGTATGCTGCCTCATCAACGGTGTAGCCGACTGTAATGAGACCATGATTTTGAAGAATACCAGCCTTACCGTCACCAATAGCTTCGGCAATTTCCTCACCTTCGGAGGCTTCGATGGCAACACCACCAAAATTCTTGTATACACTGTGACTTTTATAGAATGTACATACATCTTGGTTAAGCATTTCCAAAGGCTTACCGAAAGTAGAGTAAGCTTTTCCGTAGACAGAATGTGTGTGGCATGCAGCATTAACATCAGGTCTGGCCTTATGTAAAGCAGAATGAATAGCGAATCCAGCCGCGTTAATTGCACATTTTGGACCGTCACTAAGGATGTTACCATCCTCATCAATATGAACCATATCGGCAGCCTTCATTAACTTGAAATGCTTACCTAATGGATTAATCCAGAAGGTAGCTGGATCAACAGGGTCTCTTACAGAGATATGACCAGCAGTTCCCTCACAATAACCTTCTCTTGCAAAATATCTAAATGCAGCTGCCATGTGCTCTAATGCCCATTTCCTCTCTTCGTATTTGTCTTCGAATTTTGGCATTATGTATGGGTGTACTTCACCCATGGCAATGTTATGTGCTCCTCTTTCCTGTACAGCATAACCTTTGTCAGTACTGTTTTGAACTTTAAGCTTACCAACTTCGATTTCAGTTGTTTCTACTTTAACAAACGACATATTATTAACCGACTAGGTCTAGACTTAAGAATATTCTTGATATTAACTTTTTTTGCTAGGGTTCTAATTTCTATTTATATGAAGACTCTATTTAGCGTACTAAAGGAGAAAAAAGCGACAATTTTCCGATTACGATAATCGCTAAATTGCTTTGGGAATCTGGGTACTAACAAAAGAAAAAGACGGCATCACTGAGTGCATAACAGATGAGGCCACTGCAACTTAGGAGAATATGAGTATCGGGGATTTTGAGGTTTTTCCATAGAGTTGTAGTTATCGAGAGCCAGGAATTTTTGCTGAATTTCCTAGTCTTATTGTTGCAATATCAGTACCCACCAAAACCAATGGATGCGAAATTAATAGGTATCATTTAAGTTTTGCCATTGAGACACTGGTCATATACATAGAATGAGTTTCTCTTTTTTTCTTACAGAAGTCGATTAAGGTATTCTATTCTTTATCCTGAAGATATATATCAACGTCTATCTTCATTAACTACTTTTCAAATTCTGAGTATTATCATACATTTATTCTATAAGTTTATATTTAATGACTATTTTCTGAATTCAGGGAATGGCATTTCTTCGTATGCTTTGTCGTACAAACTGTCACTGACAATTGCACTTCTGAATTGTAAGTTTTTAACATCAACCAACTCCTCATTCAAATCCTTGATATTATCAACTCCTAAAAGTTTCATATGATTAACCATTTCAGTTTTGATGAGATCAATTAATTTGGAGACTCCTTCTTCACCATAACCAGCCATGGCGTATAAAAATGGTCTACCCATACCAACACCCTTAGCACCAAGACAAAGTGCTTTAATAACATCGGAACCTCTTCTAACTCCACCATCTAAGTAAATGTCGATCTTGTCCTCTAATCCCTTTTCCTTTAACATTTGACGAGCTTCAACCAAGACTTCTAATGGAGGCCTAGAGAAGTCTAATTGTCTACCTCCATGGTTTGATAAAATAACACCATTGATTCCTCTCTCTGCTGCCAAAACAACATCCTCTCCTCTTTGAACACCCTTTAAGGCTATTGGTAAGTCTGTGCTTGCTCTGACTCTCTCAAGATGCTTCCAAGTAACAGCTCCATACTTTGCTTTCCCATTATCAGCAATCAGCGATAATATGTCAGCAGAGGCATCATTCAGAGTTTCGGCTCTTGCTTTAGAATCCTTTTCTCTGTGGCCCAATTCTCCAACGTCTACATTAATGAAAATTCCCTTAACTGTCTTGTATGAATCAACTTTTTTGATAGTTTCTTCGATTTCGTCCAATTCTTGCACAGTCTGAAAATGAAGTTGGAACCATTGCTTTTGATCTTCTGGTACGTCAGCCATAAACTCATCCCAACCAAAGCACAATTGTTTAGGGACCATTTGCATGATGTTCCACTGATAAGCAGCTCTTTGTAAATTATACTCACCCAATGGATGAGCCAACTTAGCTCCAGCAAATGCAGTAATGTAGATTGGAATATCTACCTTATTACCCATCATTTCAGTGCTAGTATCTATGTCTTCTGCCAAATCCTGTAACATTTTTGGTCTGAAGAAAACTCTCTTGTACGCATAATGGTTCTCTCTAAGAGAGTATTCATCAGAAGCACCAGTGGCATAGTAGAAAAATGTTGATTTTGGTAAGACCTTCTTGGCGACGAACTCGAAATCAGAAACGTTAAATATTTTGTCGATTGAAGGGATTCGTTGTCTATTTTCAAAGATAGCAATCTCTTCCGCAGTCAACTGTTCCTTGAACTCTCCTCTCAAACTACCCAAGAGCTTTATGCTCTTCGTCTCTATTATTCTTTTGAGGACATCTTCTGTATGCATCGTGTCAAACGACTTTGTAGCATCCCCACCAGCAAATTTTAAGATTCTGCTGGATCCACCTGGGTGCAATTGTAAGAATTCACTCACATCGAAAACTTGACCATGAATCGCTACCCAACAATCATTTAATGTGTTGTGCTTCATTATTTCATCTACCAGCACCCAGTTTATAGCATCATTTTTCGCGGAATCTTCCTCCTGGTAGTAGGCAGCGACAATTCCCGCAGAAACCAATGAGGCAACTGCAGCAGATAGTTTCAAAGTATTTGGAGATGTCTTTAACTTAGGAGCATTCAATGTTAAATTCAGATATCCCCTCTTTGCAATTGATCCAATGTAGGACGTTCTTATCTTGGTAAGAGATTGCAATGATTTTCTAAAACTCATCATATTTTTTTTTTTTTTTTTTATTTTCAATCAGTTGAAGTAATAACAATAACCTTTTGCCAAATGGAACTGGACTGGAAGGAACATTATTTCATGAATATATAGTTGATATATGGAGGCTGTAGAGAGTAGGTGGTTCTCGCGATAAGATAAGAAATCAAAAATATTTAGTGCGCTCAATCCCAGCTGGGTGGGCGCTAATTTCCTGTTTGGGAAATCGCGATAAAGCGAAATGCTATCAAATTATTTTTAAAGTAGTCATGTACCTAAACGGTAATAGCATCCAATTCATTGGATGAATCTTGGGACTCTGAACAATAAGGTTTTGCCAACTTGATGTGGGTGGTGATGCATTCGTTATCATTAGGCACATAGCTTTCTTTTAAAGTTTTTTTAACTCCTCCCATGTAGCTTATTTTCTTGGGCACGGAAACATTCTGAGAATTACCGGTTATTTGATCTTGACGCACTACCAACATATCTTGTTGATATCAACGTAGAAGTATCACTTCCTTACAAGATAATCTGATTATCTAAGACTCAGATCGAAATGCAGATATTGTATAATTGCTAGAATTGTATTAATAAAAAATTTTTGTTCATATATATTGTCGAGCTTTCTTTTTCTTTTCATTTCTTGCACATTTTTTTAAAGATGTTTTCAACACTAGATCACAAATCGTTTCAAGGTATGATAGTGTTAGACAAAACAGTTGTACTGTCTCACGAATCAAAGCAGAAGGCTGGCGCTCCTCCTAACAAAACGAAACCTGTAAAGTTCTTAGGAGCGAAATCCAAATCGGTTGGTGGCTGTGCAACTTGTAGACACCGGAAAAAGAAATGTGATGAGGTCCATCCTTCATGTGGATTCTGTACTCGTAGGAACATACCATGCCTGTGGCCTCCTCCAAGACCGAGAAAGAAGTATGAGAGAAAGAATAAAATACAAAATATCCCAAAGCTGGAAACTCAATCAGAAAATGTGAGTGCCATTCAGACAACATCGAAACAAGATGTACAGCGTATCGAGTCTTTCGATAGCCTTGAAGAGAATTCCAAAGCATTCAGCTTCATGTCAGGTATACTAAACCTGACAGAAATTGACACCAAGACGAGTAGCTTGGAATCGATAGTGCCGTATGATGAAAATGATGCCGATGAACGTGCTTCTGTAACTACATCTATGATATTATCAGGAATCAAGACTCCAGATTTAAACATGGATCACGATGAGAGCTACAAACAGATGGTTTCGTTCTCGCCTGGTTTAAAGGAAGGACTAGACAAGTTCACTAAAATGTTACTGTCAGAAAAGTTCACTTACCCAAACTCTGCTAAAGAATCTTGGCTAGCTGACAAAGGTTCTCCTTTTGAAATTTTAATGGACCTGCAAGCCTCCGGTCCCGGCTTCCAATACAACTACTTCGAAAAATTTATTGAAAATTGTTTAAATCCTTCACCTCTGAAGTTCTACTCCACCAACTTTGAAGTTAAGTTAGCTTTCAAACACATGGAGCTGCTGCTTAGTGATAAAGGATTCAAATTCCTTGAATACTATATATTCTATTACTCAAATTCGATTACTATATGCCCAGCCGATTCAAACTATTTTGTGAAGACCTTTCTTCCCCTAGCATATTCATGTGAGCCCATCTTGTATGCGTTAGTTTCTTGGGGCTGTCTTATGTACCATTCCCAAGATGAAGCCAGAGTTTACTTGCATAAGGCAACTCTGTTAATGTACAAAACAATTGAAGCCAAAAATTCCAAGGACAAGACTTACAGTGACTATCAGCATTTCAAAGAAATGTGTTCATTCTTTCTTATTTTAATAGGATGGGAGATTTGTTCTGGTGATACCAACAATTGGTACCATTTGTTAGCACAGTGCAAAGAATTAATTTGCAAATATGGGGGGTTCCAAAAGATTAGCGAAATGTCTTCTCATAGCAATGATATTAAATGGCTAATTTCAAACTTCCAATTTCATGATGTTTTTGCTTCCAGAAGTCTTGAAACTGGTACTTTTTTTCTTATGAGCGAGTACGAAAATGTCCTAGAAGAAGATATCAGCTATGGAATTGATCCAATACAGGGGCTCGCAAGACCCCTCAATACAATATTGGGAGAAATAAGTAATTGCAGCTCTAGGATGAAAGAAGAGCGAAAACAATTGGAAGAGGAATTTTCAAGAAGCGAAATCGATTCTATAACTTATAATCTGAAAAGACTAGCTTACTATGAAAAGTGTGAGACTGTCGCTGCTTATTTCGAAAGTAGGATTAGCTCCTGTCGTCCAAATAAGAGATTGTTAGCACTTGTGAAGGAAGAATCATCAATTGAGAGGCATTTGACCTTGTTTGAATTGTATTCTTATGTGTGCATGTTTTACGTTGAAATATACATACGCCAATTACCACCGAAGTCAATAAAGCTTCAAACATTACTCTTGCGAAGTTTGGAACTTATTGACATTTTGATTGATACAGTTATGATGGTTTCCTTACCATTACCTCTTTTAATTGCTGCTCAAACTTGTTATATGCCTAGCGATAGAGATGACATGAGAAAACGGTTGCAGAATGTTAGTAAGGGGTACCATATTGGTAATTTTGCAAGAATGGTCGAAATCATTGAAGAATCTTGGGAGTTGAATCCTGATGGTTCAAAAATATTGGACTGGACAGAAATAACTCACAATAGAGGTTGGAACCTTTATGTTGGCTAGGCTTTAAGCAACTTTTCCTTTTTATAGACTTTGGTTGTTATCAGTAGTTTTCTTTTATTTTCTTTTTTTTTTTTTTTAAATTTCAAAGATTTTTACTTCGTACTGAAGATACCCGGTAATTGATACCACATGTAAGCATATATTATTATAAATAAGTAGAGGCAGTTATGTAGTCAACCTATAACTCACCAGCTGCAATAAGGTCAGCTTCGACTTCCAGGATAGATTGGAGCATAAGTTCAGCGATCTTGCTGATATCCTCTTCATTAACAATGAAAGTTGGAGCTAAAGTGACGTGGTCACCAACAACAGCATCTACTGTTCCTGCAAGACCCATGCAAACCAATCCATTTTCCAAAGCTTTAGCACTAATTTTTGATCCAACCTTCAAAGAAGGATCAAATGGCTCTTTAGTTTCCTTGTTCTTGACAATTTCAAGAGACCAGAAACCTCCTAAACCTCTAACATCACCAATAGTCTTGTACTTGGACGAGTTTAAGCCCTTCTCTTTGAGAGTCTTACCTAATAATTCACCCATGTTGAATACATTTTGTCTTAAACCTTCCTTTTGAATCTTCTTTTGAATTTCCAAAGCGACATAACAGTTGAAGGCATGTTGGTGATAAGTCTGACCACCTAAAATCATATTAGTACCTTCGACAAAGGTATTCTTGACTTTTGGAGAAACCAAGACACCAGCAATGGTGACAACACCAGATCCCAAAGTCTTTCCAACTGTTTGAATATCTGGACCTTTGAAATCTGGGTAAGATTCCCAACAGTTTAACCCACCAGTGGCTGAACATCTACCAGTTCCACACATAACTTCATCTAACCATAATAAGACTCCGTATTTGTCACAAACCTTTCTTAAGCCTGCTAAGTATCCTGGGAGAGATGGAGAGGTTCCAAAAGTACTACCACTCAAAGTTTCTGCTAAGAAACAAGCAACCTTGTTAGGGCCAGCCTTAATGAAGGTTTCTTCGACTTCTTCCAACAATCTATTAGTGTACAGTTCAATAGTCTCACCTTCCTTTAAGTGACGGTATGGGTAAACCTGTGAAACTTTTGGAACTTGGTCAGATGGTAAAGTAATTTCATCGAATGGCTTACTTCTGTTTGAGTCACTAAGAGCCATACAACCAGTAGTGTAACCGTGGTAAGATTGCTTTCTAGAAACGAAAATGGTTCTTTCAGGTTCACCCTTTTCCTTCCAGTATTGTCTGATGGTCTTCATGGCATTTTCGTTCGATTCTGAACCTGAACATGTCCATAAGGCTCCAGCAAATGCACCCTCTGGAGAGTTCTCAATGTAAAACTTAGCCAATTCTTCAGCATAGTAGTTAGTTAAAGAAATTGAAAATGAGTAGAGACATTTGGTAGAAGCTTCAGCGATAATCTTAACAACATCGTCATCTTTGTGACCTAAGGCACAGACAGCGGCACCACCACAGGCATCTAAGATTTTCTTCTGTTCCTTGGTTTCAGCATCTTCGATGATAAGGTAGTTTCCCTTACCATCGACGACCATAGGAAGCTTCTTGTTAACAGGTCCGGAGAAGAGGAGAGACTCTTGAGTTACAGTCATGGAAGTACTATTATTATTCGTTTTCGGTTTTTACGATATAGAATATCCCGAAACTCCATCTACATTGAATGGGATTCCAAGTCTTATATGGGTCCCCATTCGAGTCCATGCAGGTTGAGTATTTGAAGCATTGCGGTTTGCTTGATATAACTGCGCTAGTTTCCAGATTCAGAATTCGCGTCCAGCGCTTTGTATGTTATCAACGGAATTTGAGTATGTTGATCGCGCCAATCCTCAAACAAGCTCAATGCGCACTTTGTCGGATTTTCCGATAAGCTGTGGAGGGATCATGAACTTCTGTGAACATAAAATAGCGATTGGAAGTTCAAATATTCGATAATTAATTTTCGCTTTAACTATAGAATTTTTTCACCTTTTCTTTAACCTCATTTCTAAAACTGACTAAATATCCTTAACTATGCATCAAGTATCTTGGGAAGAAGCTCAACTACCACCAATTGGAATCTTATCTCCCGCCTACAAATCCAATGGGCATGTTTTCACCTCGGGATGTGTTGGTAGTCTTCCAGATGGATCCATCGCAGAAACCGTTGAAGAACAAACAGAATTGGCAATTAAGAATTTGTCAACCATTTTAACTACCTCTGGCTCCTCCTTGGACAAGGTGTTGAAGGTGTTACTCTTCATTGCAGATCCTGCAGATGGCCCTAAGGTCAACGAAATCTACGCAAAGTACTTCCTCCAGAAGCCTGCAAGATCCTGTGTGGTTGTTGCTTTCCCTAACGGAAAAATCAAGGTAGAATTGGAATGCGTCGCCGAGTACGAGTGAACCATGCGATATGCTTAAGTAGAAAAAATAAATAAATTAAAACTTTATGACTATCATATTGGATGTAACAATGAATTGATGGAGGAAATAGAGATTCCAAAGATGAGATAAGGATCGCTACATATCGAGCAGACATGCCATGTACCGAATGTTAAAAAGAGTGGTATGTATTTCTGATTCTTTGGCACAGCACACTTCCTTGCATTCGCAGTGTTGGGATCTCAGATTAATTCACTACATACACAGGCGTCACCCCAAACGATTTATTTGTCGGGAAGATCGACATGAGCATCTCGTATTTCTACAGATCTTGTAAGATTTTTAAGCGCTGTTGCCCTATGTGCGCATTTAAGTAGTGCATGAACTTGGCTTTCTATCACTCTATTTCTTTTGCTTCCTATGGAAGTACTGACTTCTTAACTTAAGATTTTTATTCGCAATACAAACTTATAACCTATACACATCAACTTATATGTAAAATTACATATAGTTATCTTTTCAAAAGATAAATTAGAACTAAAAATATACTCCTCAAGCAATCCAACGCCATAACTTATGCAAAAATGTTTGCTTTTCTGCGGCTTCAGCTTCATATACGATCTTATCATCAGCTTCTTCTTGTTCAGCTCTGTCTAAAAGGGCGAAGACATCTATATCCTTAGGATGCTTAAACATCTTGAAATCCCTGCGGATTAACATATACCCGAAGAAAAGCACAAAAAGGATAAGGAGAGTACAGTAGGCTGCAAAGAAGTCAGAGACATTCCATGCATCTGGGAAGAACACAGCATATCCATTAGTCAAACTGATAAGCGTGAAAATGAAAACACTTGAGTAAGCACCTATCATTTGAAGCTTTGGTCTGTAAGGAACTCTAGAATCTAAACCATGGAATTTAATTACCTTACGGTATTGAATGTAGGTGAGACTGACAAGTATCCAACTAATGAAACCAGAAACTGTTGCAATGTTACTTAACCAGGTAAAGACTTTAGAGGCAGAATTAGAACAATTCAAGTAAGCCAAAAGAGTAAAACATGAGGTTAATCCAACCGCATAAATTGGAACACCAAATCTGTTGACTTTAGCGAAGATCTTTGGAGCATCACCTTGTAAAGCCATAGAGTATAAACCTCTAGATGATCCGTACAACAAACTAGTACCACATGAGTAGGCTGAAGTAAGGATACAAGCATTAATAATGTGTGGTAAAACAGAGATACCAGCATTTTGGATACCAATAACGAAAGGCGATCCAGCAGCACCTGAAGCACCGGCAGCAACAGCATCCATCAACCTTGGATCATTATATCCAATGATAACACCAATAACCAAAGTACCACAAATGTAGAAGAAGGCAAGACGGTAAATAAATCTGTCACAAGCCTTTGGTAAGTTTCTTCTTGGGTAAACGGCTTCAGCAGCAGTAGCAGTGATAACTTCAGGCATCAAAACGAAACTGAAACCACTCTTGATAATGGCGGTCCACAAAGCTAAAAATCTACCTGTATTTCCACTGACTAAATGTTCAGTGAATGCACCAGGTGTTTTCCAGTAGTGGAATCCTAAAACACCAGTTTGAGCTGGACCACCACCAAAGAAGATTACTATACCAACGATAATCAACCCAGTTAAACATAAAAGCTTGATAGTGGAAACCCAAAATTCACTTTCACCATAGTATTTAACAGGCATGAGATTCAAAGCTATACTGCAGACGATAAAGATGGAGATGAAAATAGCAGAGTTAGCATCAGTCCAGTATTGAATAACAAATGCAACCGCTGTGATCTCTGCAGGAACAATAATAGCCTGCGCATAGTAAATGTTCCATCCCGATGTAAATGCGAAGGAGTCACCTGCGTATCTTCTAGCCATCGCATATAAAGTGGCTTCACCAGGTAACGGTAAAAAGGTGGCCATTTCACCTAATTGATTCATAACCGTCCAAACCATGAAAGACATGAAGATATAACTCATAAGTAATGGAGCAGGACCACAAGTAGACAAAGCAGCACCGGAACCAACAAAGAGACCTGTACCAATAGCTCCACCCAAAGCAATCAACTGGATATGTCTTGGTTTTAAACCTCTCACAGTTTGATTTACAACATCTTCTTTGTTGTAGGAAGATGATTCGAGATCGGAAACATCAACTTGCGACACAACACTTTTCACTTTCTTTTCGTCACTCATAATTAGAAAGACTAACTTTTTTTTATTCTAATTTCTGATTCTTACTAAATACCTTTAGCAGCTTGATTGTTTTGATCTCATATCGACTTGAACCTAACGGAATATTCATTTCTTATATGTGGAGAGAGTGTCGGAGAATTCGTTATCAACGTTTTCTATGATAAGGCTTTTGCACAATATCGCAAATGCAGGAAATCTTCACATAAAAAATAAAAAAGAATTTCAGTTACAGAAGAAAATACCAGCGAGCTGATTGCTCAGTTGATGGTGCACCTGGTTTGGAATAGATTTCTAGTTTGGGCGCTAATGCGGACCATGTACCTCTCTAGGCACAAATGGATAAATACGAAAATACGCCCACTAATTCGGAGAGCAAATTATGCGCCCGGAGCAAAATTCGCCCAGATAAGAAATTTGCGTCGATAAGAAACTGAATATCTTTGTCTTATCTCATAATTTCTCCGAACAAGCGTTGTGTGAGAAAAAATGAGAATCTTCCCGTCGCTTAAAATTTCCATGAATTTTAAGTGGAGATTTACCATCGCTAGAAGCTGTAATCAGCGCTTAATCTATCTACCACACTGAAATTAATCATGAAATCTATTCCTGCAGAATTACGATAAATGCAGGGAAGTAACCAAAATAAGGTAGTTACATGATTTGTGAACTGAAGATAAGCATTGTGGAGAGAATGCAAAAACCTACACAGTATAGATCATCAGTGCTTTGCATTTTAATGAGTTAGTGAATTTCGCGGCAATTTTCTCTTATCAGCTTGAGTTCTCAGATTAGCCCATAATTGGGACTGTGTTCCATTTTCTAGAACCAAATTAATGTGATATGCTGATTGGAAGATTCTTGCTTGAATTTTTTCGGCAAGGTTTCATTTGATATCTGAAACCTTGAATTTGTTAAAATAAGCTTTGATATTGTATCTAGTCTTATAGGTGCAACTGAAGAAGGTATTTTTACATTTCCAGGCAAATTAATCTCTTTTTGAACTTAAAATCGTATAACAGAGCATTTTTCACTTCAGAGATGTTTCTATAAGCTGCTAACGGCGTGGCTTTTTTTTGCTTGAGCTGCGCAGTGAGCAAAATCCTGTAACCTATCAACTCGATCTATAACTAGTGTACAGAAGTGTGCTATTTTTACCTCTTACTACTGACTTTTTAACATCTTGGGGCCTGTCTAGAAGATCTTTTCAGGTGAGGTGAAAGTAAGTAATAAAATTTACTTGGAAAGTCACTTGTGCGAGGAATAGGAACGCATTCTGGCCATGAAGTGAAACACGAACAGTTTTTCAGAATCGCTGGCGAGAAATAGCTTTTAACAGAAGTATTACATTTGAGGACGATATATTCTTGACTGACGTAATTCTTATACTTACTTATCAATTAAATGGCTCAACTTGTTGGTCAGCCCAGTCCCAAAATTTTTGAGCTGTACCATTTGTCAAACCTTCTTTAATGTCATCTCTCAAAGATCTGAAATTACCCCAAGGTCCAATGTAACTACCATTTTGTTCAACGGTAATTCCTGGGTGTAAGGTTGCAAATAATTCGGTGTACGATCCATAGACTGGAGGGTGTAACAAAAACCCCATTAACCATTGGCCAGTTGCAGAATACGTTCTTTGCAAATCCGAGGCCAAGTATCCAGGATGAACAGCCAAACTGACGATACCATCTTGCTTGTGTTTCTGACCGTATATCTGAGCCTGATATACGTTCCCTGTTTTAGATTGACCATATACGTCAAAGCCAGAGGCCTTGTCTGCATTGTAGAAGGAATCAAAATCAATGCCCCCGTTAGGAGGAGCAGCGAGATGGGCGGATGAAGTCAACCATACAACACGAGGTTGGAAAGTTGTGCTAGCAGCCTTGAGCACGTATGGATGGAGAAACTTCAGAAGAAGATGGTGGCCCAAGACGTTGGTACCGATCTGCAATTCGTAACCCTGAGCCGTCTTCGAACCATTGGCCGGTTGCATCACACCTGCATTGAAAATTAAATAATCAAGTTGAGAAATCTTCAATTTCTTCAATTGACTTTCTACCGACTTGATGGTAGTCAAGTCACCCAAGTCAATGGTTACTGCTAGTAATCTTGAGCGAATTTCCTCTACTTGTCCTTTAGTATCTTCGGACACTTCTTTGATCAAACGGTCGAAGGATTCAGAAGTCTTGGTAGGGTTTCTGTTCAACGCAATTACGGTAGCGTTCTGTTTTAATAATAGTTTGGAAGTTTGGTACCCAATACCAGCTGAAGTACCAGTGATAGCAACATATTTTCCAGTTAAGTCTGGGTACTGTTCTGGCAAGTACTTTGGGGCTGGTGGCCAGAAATCTCTGAGAGTTTCGTAAAATACGCTGACCATTGTTCAGAAAATAACCTGGAAATACAAAAACAAAATTTTTTAGATATTTTACTTGACAGCTATTTTCTATTCAGTAATATTCTGTTAAAATAAAGAACTGTTATAATGAATGTCTGGAAGGTGGTTTACGTAGAGATGTCACACACCATATAACTTAACTAGTGCTTATAAACGAAAAGTGTTAAATTGCTGGGGAATTGGCAAAAAGAAAAAGAAATGCGAACGGAGTTAATAACCTGCAGCACCAAAGCCCCCTTTGGGAAATATTGAGCTGAATGCAGGAAGGGAATATCTACTTGACACTTCTCTTTATCTTGACATACTTTGTATGCAGCTCAGTAAATATTATTGTATTTTTAAGCGTTTCCATAAATATTAGAAAGCCTGACAAATTGATACCTATCGGTGACTACTGCTACCTATCGGCGGCTACTAGTGCAAATATATTAATAAGAATTAAGAAAAAAATTAAAAATTATCTGTAGAATGGCTCCACTTGTTCATCAGCCCAGTCCCACAATTTTTGAGCTGTACCATTTGTCAAGCCTTCTTTGATATCTTCTCTTAAAGATCTGAAGTTCCCCCAAGGACCTATATAACTACCATTTTGCTCTACAGTAATTCCCGGGTGTAGAGCTGCAAATAATTCAGTATAAGAACCGTAGATAGCAGGGTGCAAAAACCTTCCTGACCAACGTAGAGCTCTAGAAAGTGATCTTTGCAAATCTGAAGCCAAGTAGCCTGGGTGTACTGCCAAACTGATAATACCTTCATCTTTATATTTCTGGCCATAAATTTGAGCCTGGTAAATATTCCCGGTTTTGGATTGACCGTATACGCCGAAGGTAGAACATTTAGCTGCACTGTAAAAAGAATCAAAGTCGATACCACCATTTGCAGGGGAACTGAGATGAGCTGCAGATGACAACCATACAACACGAGGTTGAAAGGTAGAACTTGCGGCTTTGATCACGTAAGGATGAAGGAATTTCAGAAGTAGGTGATGGCCCAAGACGTTGGTACCAATTTGTAACTCATAGCCCTGGGTGGTCTTCGATCCATTTGGTGGCTGCATTACACCAGCATTGAAGATTACATAATCAAGTTTAGAAACTTTCAACTTCGTTAATTGAGTTTCAGCTGCCTTGATAGTGGTTAAATCGCCCAAATCAATGATAATGGAGTGTAACTTTGAACGTATATCTTGTGGCGTAGCTTTAGTTTCTTCAGACACCTCTTTAATCAACCTGTCAATGGCTTCAGATGTCTTTGTAGGGTTTCTATTAAACATTATTACTGTAGCATTCTGTTTTAATAAAAGTTTAGACGTTTGCAACCCGATACCAGCAGAAGTCCCAGTGATGGCTACAGTTCTTCCAGTTAAATCTGGGTACTCCTCTGGCAAGTATTCTGGCTTTGGAGGAAAAAAGTCTCTAATTATTTCGTAAAAGACGCTAACCATTTTTCATTACTCTGTCAAATAATAAAGTGCAGCGGTAAAATGCTTAGTGTTACTATATTTAGTTAATTTTAATTATATCTTTTTTTTGATTTTAATTAATGTACATTTGAGGAATCATCCATTGTGAGGATACTTATATATATATATATATATATATATTACTTCCTGCTTTGTAAATGCCATACTTCTTTAAAAGGTAAGCTACAGATAAATTGTACACATACCGAGCCGCAGCATCACGATCTACAGATTTCTCGGAATTTCGGAACTTAAATTAAGATGGGTTCCATTTTTAGAGTTTACCAAATAATCAAAGCAGCTCCAAATTCATCCGAAAAACGTACATAGAAGGTATGCGCTGGATATTGTTTATGGCCTTTTGTCTATGACTACGCGTTTATAGTCACTATCAGATTCCATATCACCAGGTTCCAGATGCAGCCGATTGTAGTGTACTATATGCAGGTATATAAAATTGCAAATTGTGAATCAAACGTTGGGAACTAGAAAAAGAGATAACACAGTGTATACCCCAGTGGTACAATTTTATTGATGAGTTTTATATTCGCTTGGTTTCAGCTAAGTAGATATGGACGAAAAGAGAAACCTGTGAGAATAACACGTCAAATAATTCACCAATTTTTTTTATGTTTTATTTGCCAAATTCTCCACTACTTGGTTCAAACATCGAATATCGGTGTGCGCCTTGACTAGGAAAACAAGTGTACTCTAAAGAAATGGCTCAACTTGCTCATCTGCCCAGTCCCACAATTTTTGAGCCGTACCATTTGTTAAACCTTCTTTGATATCTTCTCTCAAAGACCTGAAGTTTCCCCAAGGACCAATATAACTACCATTTTGCTCAACAGTAATCCCTGGATGTAAAGTTGCAAATAATTCAGTGTACGATCCATAGACTGGAGGGGACAATAATAACCCCATAACCTTTTGGACAACAGAAGGTAAAGACCTTGCCAAGTCGGAAGCTAAATAACCTGGATGTACAGCCAAACTAATGATGCCTTTAGCTTTATATTTTTGGCCATAGATTGCTGCTTGGTAAATATTTCCGGTTTTTGATTGGCCGTATACAGCTCCAGAAGAACTTTTGTCAGCGTTGTGGAAAGAATCAAATTTGATTCCCCCATTAGGATGAGAGTGAAGATGGGCTGCAGATGTCAACCAAATAACACGAGGTTGAAAATTAGGACTGACTGCTCTTATTATATATGGCTGAAGAAACTTTACAAGTAAATGATGTCCCAATACATTTGTACCGATCTGTAATTCATAACCTTGGGCACTTTTCGAACCATTTGGAGGTGTCATCACACCTGCATTGAAGATTGTATAATCAAGTTTCGTCAAATTCAAATTTTTCAATTGGCTTTGCACCGACTTTATAGTAGTCAAATCGCTCAAATCAATGATGACAGAGTGCAACCTTGCACTTATGTCTTGAGGATTAGCCTTCGTTTCTTCAGAGATCTCTTTAATCAACTGTTCGAAAGATTCAGAAGTCTTGGTAGGATTTCTGTTGAAAGTAAAAACTGTAGCATTCTGCTTTAATAATAATTTAGTAGTCTGAAACCCAATACCAGCAGAAGTCCCAGTGATGGCTACAGTTTTTCCAGTCAAATCTGGGTACTGTTCTGGCAAGTACTTTGGAGCTGGTGGCCAGAAATCTCTGAGTGTTTCGTATAATACGCTGACCATTTTCTCTAATCCTATAAATAAAAACGAGTAGCGTTAGAGCTCAAATTTTGTTCTTTTATTTTTATTTATTTGTTTTTAAATTATTCACGAACTTTCAAATCTGGCCCCATAGCCATACTTATATGTAGTTTTCTTAAATCCTTACTTCTTCACATATGGAGTAAATATGTGCATATACATGGCATTCCGCAGCCATATCTTTAACGTCTTCCGAAATTTCGGAATTTCGGAGCTTCGGAACTTTGATTTAAGATGGAACTTCTCTTGTAGCACCTTACTAGTAAAAAAAATCAAACCAAGATATCTACAAAAATACTCACCATAGAGGTATTCAAGCCTCTCTGTATTATCTAAAAGAATCTCGATATCCTATACTCTATCACTGAATGCTAAAGGGGCAAAAAAAGACTACACCTTGCTTACTTCCGGGGTAACTGTGACTAAGATAAACTATATGCAGGTATTAAAAGTTGCAAAAAAACAGCGAAATAAGCATTAAGTATATGATCTGGAAATATCACACTAGGCAACCTCGAATTTAGTTTTGTTTGCATATTCACTTGATTTTGGATACAGAGAGGATACAAATATTACCAAAGTTAATGACTACCCCACTCCCTATATAGATATGCTTTACAATATTATCCTCGCTCCAGATAGTAACTACTTCGAGAGTTGCAACTTTCTCTCTTATACTTCTTACAAACACTTCCGTTGGAGATTAACTAAAAGTATTATTTTTGGAAATACATAGTGAATTACAATAATGGTTCTATTTCAAATATTATTCACCAAAATTAATTTTATGTATTATTTACCCTTTCGCCATTATCCTCTTGTTAGAATTTAAACTAGTGGATTGGCTCTTATCCAGGAGTATAAATGTCTCTAAAGAAATGGCTCAACTTGCTGGTCAGCCCAATCCCACAATTTTCGTCCAGTACCATCTGTCAAACCCTTTTTGATGTCTCCTCTTAACGATCTAAAATTACCCCAAGGTCCAATATAACTACCATTTTGCTCAACAGTAATTCCTGGATGTAAAGTTGCAAATAATTCAGTGTACGATCCATAGACTGGAGGGTACAATAACAACCCCATAGCCTTTTGGGCAGGTGAAGGAAGAGATCTTTGCAAATCGGAGGCTAAGTAACCTGGATGTACAGCCAAACTGATGATGCCTTTGTTTTTATATTTTTGGCCGTAGATTCCTGCTTGATAAATATTCCCCGTTTTTGATTGACCATATACAAGCATAGAAGAACATTTGTCTGCATTGTAGAAAGAATCAAAATCAATCCCCCCATTAGGAGGAGAGCCAAGATGACCTGAAGATGTCAACCAAATAACACGAGGCTCGAAAGTAGGACTAGCCGCATTGATAATGTATGGGTGAAGGAACTTCAAAAGTAAGTGATGTCCTAATACATTTGTACCAATCTGCAATTCATAACCTTGGGCACTTTTCGAACCATTTGGAGGTGCCATCACACCTGCGTTAAAAATCGCATAGTCAAGTTTTGTCAAGCTAAACTTTTTTAATTGACTTTCGGATGACTTTATAGTAGTCAAATCGCTCAAATCAATAATTATGGAGTGCAACCTTGCACGTATGTCTTGAGGATTAGTTTTCGTTTCTTCGGAAACCTCTTTGACCAACCGGTCAAAAGATTCAGAAGTCTTGGTAGGGTTTCTGTTGAAAGTAATAACTGTAGCATTTTGCTTTAATAATAATTTAGTAGTCTGAAACCCAATACCTGCAGATGTACCAGTAATGGCCGCAGTTTTTCCAGTCAAATCTGGATATTGTTCTGGTAAGTACTTTGGCTTCGGAGGACAGAAGTCTCTGAGTATTTCGTAGACAGTATTGACCATTTTTTTTAAGCTAGTTATAGGAAGAATAGATATAGGAGGATAAATCTCTAGATGGAGCTTATGATGATCTGATTTGTAGCCAGATGGAAAACTGAATTTATATTTAAATAAAACGGGTTTATATGCCAAATTCATGCCTGTGTGGATACAGAGCACGGAGTTAATAAATTTTTGGAACACTTATTTCGCGCCGGAATGTCGGAACTTAATCCAATTCTCATTTCTTTTTCAAGCAAGATCAATTTCACTGCAGCTCATCTTCCGAGACGCTTCCGCAATATGTCAAACTATTCAGAATGAAAACGATTCTTCAATTTCTGGCACTGCCCATGGTCACAAGGCAATGATCTAGCTCCAGATATGGAGCAAGCACACGCAACTAGCTCCTGAGAGAAGAAAAACGCTGTCTTCCGCAGTAGTATCTTCTTATTATATCCTGCATATGGTGATTAACTTCAACACAAAGGAAGCAAAAAGAACGAATTTTTGCGAATGGTTATTGATGACGAAATAATTTAGGTACACTAGAGCTTGTTGCAACTGTATCTTTCAAATAAGAATATAAGAGAAATAAAAGTGAAATAGTACATCTATTTGATTATTATGCAGAGTTAGTTGAATATCTCTTTATTTTATATAGTTTAAGTCTAATTTTAAAAGGTGTTTGCAAGAAGGTACTGTAAGGTACTTGATTGCAGCACCTTTTTTATTTCAATCCAGATAGGTCGTGCGAGAATCATAAATACCATCTTTAACGAAAAAAGTTCAATTCTGCCATACATTAACCAAAGAATGATACTTATATGCAGGTTTGAAGACTTACAACTCGCAATTGAAGCTCTTTAAAAGGCAGCAATGTGTAGAAAAATCTTTGAGATTGCACTGAAAATATTATTATATGCAGGAGTATCAACTTACAACTCGCAAAGTAAGTGGTTTTTAAGTATAAAGAGTTGGATAAAGGAAAATAAAAAGTATGTACCACAATAGATAATATTGTTGCCAGAAGAATTAAGAATCAGAATATCCATCAAAATTCATAATTAATTGAAAAATGTAGTACAAAAAATGATATTCAAAAAAATAAAAAAAAAAGAAGAGATTGCAGCACGAGAGTTTCGCGTATGGTCTCCCACTACACTACTCGGTCTCGCTCTTAGCAGCTTAACTACAGTTGATCGGACGGGAAACGGTGCTTTCTGCTAGATATGGCCGCAACCGAAATACTTATAATTTCTCTTCGATATGTGCGATCGGGGGGGATACATTGATTTTACAATTCTTAAATAAAAAAGGACCTTCGCAGGTCCAAACCTTTTGGTGTAAGTTACATGCATTAATACAATACTTCCCCCAAAAATTTGCAAGGGGGAAGTTACAAAATTCTACAAGATCTACATATACTATAGTTTAGTATCTCAATATGAAAGTAATAAAGAAATTTCTTATTCAAAAAAAAAAAAAAATGCTTGAAAGGAAAAGGGAATTTGCAGTTGTATTTATATTCCAAAAATTTTTGAAGACGATGAATTTTTTTTTTTGGTTGTGCATGAAGAGAGTTGATGAAAAAAATTTTGAGAAAATCGAAAATAATTTGGGTGTGGAGGTTTACGATTGCCAACATGAGAATTTATCGTCTAAAATCAAAATAAGATTACTAGGATATTAAAAGAATTACGATAAAAGATCAATTGATTATAAAGCAGCTCCTAATAAACAACATTACAGTGTAGCACTAGTAAAACAAGGTCATTTTTATATCAATCAACACTTTACAAAAATAAATATATATCCGTTACAGAATACTAAAAACATAAACCAGAATTAGTTTACCCTTTAAGATTCTAAAAACTCCAAACACACATACAGAAAGGGAAACAGAATGAAAGAACATCACCATAGAAGACGATGCTCAGAATAGTATAGAAATTGGAAAATAAAGTACATGAGTTTCATTATCGACATTAGAGGTGTAATGTATGCCCTAGAAAGCTCCATATAAGGTGTACTAGAAATAAGAGCAAAAATATTGGATTGTAAAATAATCGTGTAAGTACCAAAAGGGTTTAATCCACATAGTACAATTAAAGAATCCAATCTGAATACTGAAAATTCGAAATATAGCTATGGAAATATAAATGGTAAATTTAGAATCAGAAGGAAAAGGCGAATCTATTAATGTAGAAATAATCGAATATAACCATGTTTTTAGTGAGTTAGAGTTGAATAACTTGGACAAGGGTGGTCTTAAATGGGAGACATGAAACGCACTTATGTTGGTAGTGGGAGGAATAATGCATGGGTATGCAGTTTAAGAGAGAATATCGAGTAAAAATATGAAGAAAAACGTATGGTTGCAAGTAAAGAAAAAAAATAAAAATATGATAGTAAGGAATGTCGAAACGCGGGAAAATGAAGAGAATTTCAAGCATAAATTTCATTTGTCTGACGAAAGATTTCGTCAGAAAAATAGAATCGCAAATAAAAGTAAAATTTGTGCAGGATGTAAAGAGATTCATGTTGCAGGATATACTAATGTGACCGGGGGTACTTTATGCGAAAGCATGAGACAATTAAAAGAATTAAAGAGTATTACTCTATAGTTCTATTAATGTCTTTATGGCCTCGTTGTTTAGTGGGGAGAGTTTAATGGTGAAACGTAAGTTTTCTATTGCTCTTTACGCTAAAACAACATGGGTTATCTCTTGTCTGAAAGCATTTATGTTGGAAGACAGAGTAGCCTGAACAGTCTTATACCAGATATCTAACGATTCTGTGTATAAGCGCTGAAGGATTTAGTGGATTACTAGCCTATGGCAAGTGTTTATCTAAAAACTTATTTGGGGGTCTGCTACATTGAATAGCCAGATTTAGTTCTGTGATTCTCTGTAAGTAACCTCCTCCATGGTTGGTTATGTTAAACCTTTGATAAAATTTTATTAAAGTGTTTGGCGGACATCATACCAGGGGAATTCAAAGAGGGCTATATGGATGTAGTTTAATTGCGAATTGCTGGTAAAACAGTGAATTGCGATTAACTACCGATTGATTGAAAATTTATTTTTATATCAATTGTCAATTTAGATTAACTTCAGTTGTGATGGAAGACCTAGTGTCTTTCAGAACAATGTGAACTCCTTTATTGGAGTTTAAGATAGTTATCTGGTTGATCCTGCCAGTAGTCATATGCTTGTCTCAAAGATTAAGCCATGCATGTCTAAGTATAAGCAATTTATACAGTGAAACTGCGAATGGCTCATTAAATCAGTTATCGTTTATTTGATAGTACCTTTACTACTTGGATAACCGTGGTAATTCTAGAGCTAATACATGCTAAAAATCCCGACTTCTGGAAGGGATGTATTTATTAGATAAAAAATCAATGCTCTTTGAGCTCTTTGATGATTCATAATAACTTTTCGAATCGCATGGCCTTGTGCTGGCGATGGTTCATTCAAATTTCTGCCCTATCAACTTTCGATGGTAGGATAGTGGCCTACCATGGTTTCAACGGGTAACGGGGAATAAGGGTTCGATTCCGGAGAGGGAGCCTGAGAAACGGCTACCACATCCAAGGAAGGCAGCAGGCGCGCAAATTACCCAATCCCGACACGGGGAGGTAGTGACAATAAATAACGATACAGGGCCCTTTCGGGTCTTGTAATTGGAATGAGTACAATGTAAATACCTTAACGAGGAACAATTGGAGGGCAAGTCTGGTGCCAGCAGCCGCGGTAATTCCAGCTCCAATAGCGTATATTAAAGTTGTTGCAGTTAAAAAGCTCGTAGTTGAACCTTGGGCTTGGTTGGCCGGTCCGCTTTATGGCGAGTACTGGACCCAACCGAGCCTTTCCTTCTGGCTAACCTTTCGCCCTTGTGGTGTTTGGAGAACCAGGACTTTTACTTTGAAAAAATTAGAGTGTTCAAAGCAGGCCTTTGCTCGAATATATTAGCATGGAATAATAGAATAGGACGTTATGGTTCTATTTTGTTGGTTTCTAGGACCATCGTAATGATTAATAGGGACGGTCGGGGGCATCAGTATTCAGTTGTCAGAGGTGAAATTCTTGGATTTACTGAAGACTAACTACTGCGAAAGCATTTGCCAAGGACGTTTTCATTAATCAAGAACGAAAGTTAGGGGATCGAAGATGATCAGATACCGTCGTAGTCTTAACCATAAACTATGCCGACTAGGGATCGGGTGTTGTTCTTTTTTTGACGCACTCGGCACCTTACGAGAAATCAAAGTCTTTGGGTTCTGGGGGGAGTATGGTCGCAAGGCTGAAACTTAAAGGAATTGACGGAAGGGCACCACCAGGAGTGGAGCCTGCGGCTTAATTTGACTCAACACGGGGAAACTCACCAGGTCCAGACACAATAAGGATTGACAGATTGAGAGCTCTTTCTTGATTTTGTGGGTGGTGGTGCATGGCCGTTCTTAGTTGGTGGAGTGATTTGTCTGCTTAA